GATGTGGAGTCCTGGTTTGGTTTAACCAGCTGAGCTCCGCTGCCTCGTGGCAAGTGCTGCGATGGCTTCAGTTGATGGTTGTGATAGGATATTGCCCCCATCTCTTTTTATCCGTCAAGCTGGCAAATAATTCAGATACGTGAGTAAATCATCACCGAGAGCAAATGTTCCCTGGCCGTGGAGGGTCTGGGGGAGGCGCAGTCACCTTTGCTGCATCAGTCCCGTTATTTTCAGTCCCCTCTGCCCTTCCGCCATTTGCGAGGTTCCTAGTAAATGCCTCAGTTATTGCATGAATAATATAATTCACTCAACCCTATAGGAAGCCGATTAGCCTTCTGTTACTTATCAAAGCGTTCCTTGGCTGTTAGGTAAAATATGTTTGACGCTAACTCTTCTTGCTCCAATTGCAATACAGGGCTCGGAGCATTGGGTATTTATAGAGAGAGAAACCTCTAGGCTGGAAGAGGTAGCTCTAAAGAAAGCTCTGAGAGTCAAGAAAGAAGAAGCACGTGCAGGTACATCAGAGGTGAAAATGAGTGTGAGCATGGCAGAAGTGGAGAAAATAGGGAAAGCCAAGGAAGCTGCAGGCCCGGAAGAGCCAGCAGATGCAGCCCTGGATACCCACCGAAGAGCAAAAATGATTGCTAGTCCAGAGGATTTTGAGTCTGTCTGGGAGGATGAGATCTGCGAGAAGGCGACCGGGGAGGAGCCCGGCTTGGAAGCAGAGCACTTGGCAGCTGCGAGTGGCCAGGAGGAGCCCAGAGAGAAGAGGGAGGAGGCGGTGATCAGAGCAGCAGGTCTGCCCAGGCCATGTCAGAAATCTGAAGAGGGGCAAAGGCCTGAGGTTTCAGAGCTGGACTCTCATCGGGGAGAAGGCAAAGTGGGCTCGGAAGAGTGTGTTCCTGCATCTTCCAGAAGGCAGGAAGCCAGAATGCCAACCACCGCCACAGAGGTCATTAAAATTAAAGTGAAATCTAATGATGACAAGACAGAGACTTCTGCTACACAGAGGATCATCTACTTAGACGATATAGAAGGAGATGAGAAGGACAACAAACCATATGTGCTCTCAGAGGCCGGAGAAAGGCTCGACTTGAAGGAGGGGCTGGAAACTATGGTAAATGAAGCAGAGGAGGGCTCAGGGCCCGCAGTACCTGCAGAACAAGGATCACAGAGCACTCACTCAGCGGGTGAGCAAAGAAAAGCAGTCTCAGAAAGACCTGCCGTAGAGCCAGACCAGTGTGAGAGGGGCTGTGATGAGACAAGCCCTTTGGGACATCCTCACTCCAAGAAGGAGGAAGTTTTGTCAGGTCAACAGGAACAAGCATCTGCTGGGCTGACAGGCCATGAAACACGAGGGAGACATCAAGCCATAGCATGTTCCCCAGAGGTGGAATTGGAGGAAAAAGATCTGCAAAGAGCAACAAGAGAATTTAAGCTGTGTGCTCTGGCAGGTGAAGGGAGAGGAGCTAAGTATGAGCAGCAGGAGGGCGAGATGGAGAACCCAGTGCTGAGACTGGCTAGAGGAGAGCACAGGGACATGGACAGCTCCCCAGCAGAGTGGCAGGTCTCAGAGAGGATCATTGCAGAGGGAGAAGAGGTGGAAAGCTCCAGAGTGGTGCTTCAGATGGAAGAGATAGAGACTAAACCACTCCCTTCAGCTGTGCCTCAGCAGGGCCCTCCTGGTGCCACAGAAGGGCCAGAGGAGGGTAAACTGACAGCTCCCACCTCCGGACCCTTTCCTCAGCAATCAGCTCCTGGCTCTGCAGAGCTGGCCCAGGACATGGGGCCAGCCCAGGACACACAGCCCAAGGACAAAGAGCTGGCCCAAGGCGTCAGCTCGTCAACAGATGTGCAAATAATTAAGAACGTGAAGCTCGCAGCAGAGGTAATGCTCAAGGATGCAAGTCCCAGAGCAGATGCAGAAACACTCAGGGACATGAACTCTGTAACAGAGGTGGAAATACCCAAGGACGTGAGCCCTGAATCTGAAAAACAGCTCCAAGATGTGGGCTTTGCTACAGGAGAAACACATGCAGATGCAAGTCCTGTTGTAGGACGACCACCCCAAAACACAGGTGCTGCTGCAGTGGAGCTCCCCCGAGTTAGAGATCCAGCTCCAGGGGAGGTGGGTCATGACATAGACCTTGCCACAGGGAAGGCAGTTCATAGCCAAGTCCCTGCCACAGAAGAGTCATTCCAGGAAGAAAAGCCCATGATAAAAGAACTATGCAAAGAAATAGAGTCCATGTCAGGGAAGCTGCTCCGACATACAGGCAATACGATGGAAGAACTGTCTTATAGCAAAACTCCTAGCCTGGAAGAGCTTCCTGCCAAGGCAAAAGAAATGGAATTTCAAGCTGGCACTGTAGCTGGGGCCCTGCCCCAGAAGGGTCCTGAGGCTGGAAGGCCACTCCACACTGCAGCCCCCGAGGCACAAGAGCCACATCGGGACTTGGAGCTTAATGTGGGACAGTCTCTGCAGGACAGGAGCCCTGGAGTACAAGAAACCACCAAGCACAAGGGCCCTGCCCCAGAGCAGCCACGGAAGGAAAAGCCTCCGTGTGAAGAAGATGGTCATGTCCTGCATTCCCGCTCTCCTGTAACAGGACCATGTCAAGGAAACAAGTTGTATCAACCTTCTACCTTTAGATATGAAGGCAGAGTAAAGCTGCAAGCTAGCAATAGGATACCAAAAACCGAGTCTGGGTCATTGATGCCCACTGCTGGGCGGATAGAAGCTGGACCCCAAGAGCATGGAGAGATTGCTGTGACTCCAGCCCCAGTCCCCGGGGTCTGGCAGGATGGTGAGATGTATGAGAAAACCTCAGTGGCCTCTAAGATTAAGATATTTGAGCAGAGTGAAGCTGAGCAAAGGACAGCACAGGAGGAACAAGAATGCATGCCTGAAATGGAGACAGCAGCGAAAAAAAGGGGGAAGATGGATCTAGCACAGGACACACTCTTGGACACCAGCCTCCTCTCAGCTTCCACTTTGTCAACCATTCCTGTGGGATCTGTGTCCAGTGTGGGCTCCTTAGCCTTCAGGCAAAGAGTTGGTTCAGGAGACTCGTCCCAGCCTGTGTCTCTGAAGGAAGATGTTTCTGTTGATTTGGAGCATGAAGGAGAAGATGCCGACCTTGCTTCCCCCGACTCCGGCTGCGAACTCACACTGGCAGAAGCCGTGGTAACTCTTCCAATGAACTGTCCGGATGGAAAGTTCATACGCATGTTGTGTGGCTCTTTATTACCATATTCAGTGGCTCTTCACACATCCATTGACTGAGACCCGTCGCTTTGCATCCCCTGTCCTTTTATGTATGTGTGTTCTTTGCTGAATGCAGCTCCGCTGGCCCGGCGGTTCATCGGCTTTTGTTTTGTGAACCCCGACAGTTTGGCTCCTTGGAGAATGCCAGCCGCTACCCCGAAAATGGGCACCCAAGCTTCGTGCCCAGGATCAAGGAAGGGATATGGGGCGGGGGGTGCTTAAAGAGCTGCGGAGCTGTCGCAGACACGCACACACACCTAGCAGCAGCAGCGGGGCCACGCTTCCGGCTTCCCCCTTGCATTTCTTCCGTTGATATCCCTTCTTGCTTGGCTCTCCGGCCTCACCCATCCTCCCCTGTCTTCGGCAAGCTGGTGGCTGGATGATGAAATAGCTTTCTTCTGCTCTTGTAAGCACTAGATCAGCTCCTGTAGAGTTCACTTCTTTAAAACTAACCCTTTTCTCTAATCCAGAGCAAATCTCAGGAACCAAGTGGGGAAGAAAAGAATTTATCTGATCCATCAATAAAATCCAGCCTGAAAGAAGACAATTTAAAGACTGCTATTCCAGTAGTCTCCCAGGTCTCAGTGCTGTTTTACTAACTGCTTCTTGCCATAGTATAAAAGCTCACCTTAACCATCCAAGGACTGTGTGCTTCCAACTCCTCTGCCCTTGCAAAGCTGTTATGTATATATCTATATACGCACACATGTGTGTGTATATGGGTATGCTCCTGTGGAGTTGGTGTGGCACCCTGTTTCTCATACCTCTCAACCTGCCAGCTGTGCAAACAGAGGGTGCCTGCGCTGGCCGATTGGAGGGCTGGCTCCGGCTGCAAACGCTTGGCCCAAAGCCCGAGAGGGGCTTCCTGTGGCATCGGCGGGTTCAGAGCAAATCCTGAGGGAGAAATACACAGAGTGATAATGCAAAATAAAACAGAAGCGTGGAAATGGGTTCCCGTGGCTTTATGGCAGGGAGTGGGAAGAGGAAGCTCACCCTCTGATGGTAGAGTTGAGAGGTATGTCCATGTTTGGAGAGGAGCGAAGGGAGGGAGGCTGCCCCATGGCTCTAATCGTGCTCTGAATCACAGTGATTAAACACCAAATTGGACGAGCCCTTGGTGTCATCCCTCCCTCCATCCCTCCCTCCCACATGAAGGCTGGGGTGATGCTCGTCCAGGACACAAGGCAGACACTCCTTTTGGGGCAAGCTCAGTGGGACTGGCAAGCTCCTTTGCTTCTCTTTGAACATTTGTGGCTGACAAGGCGCCTTTCTTTTGTTCAGACTCTTTGGTGCCCAACTTTACCAACACGTGGTGGCCCTGGCGTCTGAGCTGTTTCTGATTGTCTCTTAAAAGACCTGTTGTTTTGCACACATCTGCTTTCACTAGGTGCACTGACGTGCCTCCAGGCTGTCCAAGCATTTATGTCTGTGGGACTGACCCTTTTACTCATACGATTAATTACCAATAGGCTTTTGGCAAAAAAAGAAAAAAAAAGAAAGAAAAAAGAAAACAGATTGGATAACTTTGGATAACTCCCCTGCTCCCTGCAAAGCTGCTGCTGTCAAAAAGGTTTCAGTTTTCATGCTTGAGTTGTGTTTGACTTTACTCTGTGATGTTTGCTGCAACCTTCTTTTTCCTCCTCCCCTTTCTGCCCCCGTTGGCGTAGCCGGCGCTGTTGTGCCCCTTGGTGCTCACGGTCTCGGTCTCTCTCCGCCCTTGTGTCTTCTTCAGAGAGCGGGCTGGAGGGAGGGTGCCGAGGAGAAAGCTAAGCTGCCTCGGCACAGGGCTCCCGAGAGCGACACCGGCGACGAGGAGCAGGAGCAGGAGAGGGACGCCGTCTTCCTGAAGGACAACCACCTGGCCATCGAGCGCAAGTGCTCCAGCATCACAGTCAGCTCCACGTCCAGCCTGGAGGCCGAAGTGGACTTCACGGTGATTGGTGACTTTCATGGGACAGCCTTTGAGGACATATCCCGGAGTCTGCCCGAGCTGGATAAAGACAAGAGTGAGACAGAAGATGAAGGCCTGGCTTCTTCCCAGGATACTGAAAAAGTAGCTCCTGGACTCGACGAGGATGTCAAAGGAGGGGAAAAGGTCTCCCAGCCTAGTCCAGAAGTATCCCAGCTAGAGGTACAAAAAGAGAAGCCACCACCAAGACTGTCTTAGTACCACCATCCCTCGGTGTTCTGTGTGCCCAGTGTTGCTGCATTGGCATGTAGTCTCGTGTCTGTTTGGAAGAGCAGCATGCTAGCTTTCAAACAGCCCTGTGTTCCCGTCTGCCGTAACTGTTTCACCCTAACACAACTGTCCTCTTTGTTGCATGGTTATCTCGGTTTAGGCAGGTGCATGGCTCTCGTGTGTGTTCTGTGCATCTGCTAACCAGAAGAAGTCACATTCTTCTCTTAATCCGTCGTGTTTGGCCTCCTGCGCTGCTCCTTGCACCATGATGGCATGCTGCCAGCGGGGAAGGGCATGTTCTCTAACCAGCGACTGTCCCTGTGTTTTGCATGAAGTCGGTGAATAGCTTGCATCGTAAAGAGACCTGCACTGCCCACTAACCTCTCTGTGACCGTGCAGGGGGTGGCAGTCACTTGTGGCAGAGCTGGTGTGGACAGCCGCGAGGGCTGGGAGGGTCTGTCCTAGGGGAGCTAAGGAAAGTGCATGCGGCGTGTCCGTGGAAGGGGGAGTTGAGTGCGCAGCGCTGAGCGATGATGGCACAGCCAGCCTCACGGCACATGGAGGGCAGCGCAGCCGCTGCTGGGGCCAGGGCCAGCCCTGCAATAGCGGCCGCGCTGCAGGTCCATGGCCACGGCCCGGCCACGCGCGCTGGGCGGCTGCTCCGCAGGGCAGGTCGGGAGCCCTTGGTGGCAGGTAAGTCCCTGCTCTGCTCCCTGAGGAGCTAGTGGCAGAACAAACCCAGAGCCAGAGCAAAGGAAAAGCAACAGGTGAAAATATATTTTCTGTAGGGCAACCCGTGTGGTGCGTGATCTGAAACCCTTGTGTGGATCGTGTCCTTTGACTTAGGCTGCTAGGCCAGGAAGAGTAGGATTCAGGGAGTCCGTGGCCGTGCCTGGGACAGGGGTGGTTGATAATTCGGGAATGTGGGAACTCACTGGCACTTGAATCAGGCCTGAGTAACCATCACCTGGCAGCAGCTCTAGGGCAGCTCCCCATCCTTGCAGCAGGGATGTCTGGAAACCTCTCTCCTCCCTTCCTACAAGTTAGTCACCATCTGTCACCAAGGGGGTAATCACAACAGCAGGGAACTAAGGCAGACTCATCAACCTACATCAGGTGAAATGAGTTTAGCGGGTCTCACCCAACATTAGAGCATCAGTTTGCCCCAACCCATGGTGGATATAAATCTATGCAAAATTTTAAAAATCTGGTGAGAGCATCCAGCACAGTCTGGGTTATGTCGCTCATTTGGGGCAGTTTGCATGGCAGCTGTCTGCACTCCCATAACAGTGTAGCCTCTGCTGTGTGTTCTTGAAGGTGGAGCTCTGCAGTTTCTCTACACACTGTCTGTGTCCTCACTGAGCCCTTCTGGCTGCCTGTGCCCCCAGGGCTATCAACAAGATACTGCCTTTGCAAGGGAAGAGGGACGCATGCTCGGGTGGGCTAGCGCAAGAGGAGGAATTAGGCTGACTCCTGTTTCTGATTAAGCCCTGGACTAGAGCAGTCTGGTGCGGTTGCTGACTTGCTGTGTTTCTTCTGCAGTCAGCAGTGCTGAAAACAGATGCCACGATGGCTGCTCCGGCATCGGGCGCAAAGAAGCCTGAAGCAGAAGCCTCTGCCCCCCTCAAGGTAGGTGCCGCAGAAGCCACTCGGCTGACGTGGTGCCTTGTGCTGTGTGCGCCAAGGACAGAGCTGGGCTCACCCTCTCATTGCCCTGCTTCTTGGTGGCTCTGCAAAGCCTCAGTCTGTCAAAACCTGCCCCAAACCACAACGCTGGGAGGGCAGATGGCTGAGCCAGGCTGTCAGGCTTCTCTGCTTGTCCTGGTCCTACTGTAATCCCTGAGACATCAAGTCGAAACTCGCATGCATTTTGCATTTACTTTTCCATGCAAGAAACCCCATGCTGGGGTTCCGTGAACCCCAGCCCTGCACCTGCTTCCCTCAGCTCGTCTCCACGCTGCTGGGCAGCCCTGATGTGCAGGGGTGTCCCCGGAGGGTGACACTCACTGCACTGTGCTGCTGAGCATGTGTCTGTGTGCACACAACGCCTTCCCCAGCCACATGCCTTGGCAGCAATGGGACTAAAGCACCGGTCCTGCTCGGGTAGGTCCCTCAGAGGTACCTTCGAACTCACCAGCTCGCTTTTGTTTCTGGTAGGTGGAAGGAGGCACTCCAGGCAGCAAAGACGCAATAGCCACTTCCCACAGTGTCACCACAGAGACCATATCAGCAACCTCCGTAAGCAGGGCTGACTCCTCGGGTGCCAGCGGGTGCTAGCGGCCCGTTCAGCTCCTCTGGGTTGGTTGTATTCCCAGGACGGGGTGAGGGAAGCTGAGAGCAGGCCGTGATGCTGGGGGAGATGAGAAGTCCTCAGTCCTGCTGTGAAAGACTCCAGAGGCTGAGGGAGGTTCACGGTACTTCAGTGCTGCCCTCCCAGAGCAAGCTACGTTTGCCCTCACCTTGTGTCCATGCCAATGCTTCCATGTGCTCTTCTTGCAGGATCACAGCACCAAGGCAGGGAAAGGGACAGGAGCCACAACAGAACTTCGCTCCGTGTCACCGGTGAGTGGAGGACGTCTGCAGTGCCTCAGTGCAGGGAGGAGACCCTGAGGGGGGCATCCTGGCTCCTGACCACTATGCCCAGTGTAGGCTGCCTTGGCCAGTCACTGTTAACTACTCAGGAGGCAAGTTCATCCCATACTTCCAGCAGCAGCACCCTTGGCCAGTGTGGTGGTACTGGAAAAGAGTGCAAAAATGCACTTGTGCCTGAGGAGCAGAGGTTTGGAGAGCAAGAGGGCCATGAAGCCCATGCCAGTAGCCTCTTCCCTTTGCCAGACTCACTCTTTGAGCATCAGCTGGAGGAGGAAAGGTCCTGAAAAACAGACAGGCCCTGGTGAAGTCCTAAGCAGGCTGAGTTTTCCCTAGCTCTGCACATAGAACGGCCTTGAGGGTGGAAGTGGAGGAATCAAATGTGGCAATGAAATCATCTCCCTGCTGGAGACGGCCTTTTCTGCAGCTCTCTGAGCTGCTTGTGGGCACCTCTGCCCAGCCTTCATGCTCCAGAAAAAGTCTCTGCCCCCCAAAAACATGCTCATTTGGAGCAATGCAACATGTCTTTGCTCTTGACATGGTCTACCCTCTGCAAGCCACGTATTTGCTTGGCTCAGTGGCTTTCTCTTGGGAGATGCAGGAATAGCTCTTGTGTAGGCTCTCAATCTCCTGTAAAAAGGGAGACTCAAGTCCTCAGTGATGTTCTGCTCCCAGGAAAGGTGCCAGAGGAGGACAGAGGCTGCAGTAGATGAATGAAAGAGGCTCTTATTTTGCTTTTATTCATGGTTCCATCAGGTAGAAGGAATAAGATGAGGGAAGATACTCATATGAGTCACAGGTATTGAAAACTTGGATGTCACAAATCTTGGAGCCAGCTCTAGTGTCTTCCCGTGCATAATTCCTTACTAACACAGGTGCTTTCTGTCCTATAGATCACCGGCAGCTCTGCTGGGAAGGAGGTGCTCACCAGCATGTTCAGTGCCACTGCAGAAACCCTCTCCACTTCCACCACTACCCATGTTACCAAGGTAAGAATAACTGCAAACATGGAAGCCCAGTGGATTTCTGATGAAAGATGCTATTGGTATTTGAAGAAGGTAGGAGAAAATGCTACTGTCCCACTTAGGAGCTGAAGAAGTGTGTGCTGTCGTGTGGGGAGACCCATGCTGCTTTCCAAAAGCCCCAGCCCAATTCACCCCGTTGTAGAGCAGCTCCTATTCAGCCAGATGTGACCTAGGGGCACTTTGGGCATGGACAGATCATGTTTTGGTGGGCGTTCAATTTAGGTTGATTGGGTTACCAGCATGGACTGTGACTGTCAACCACGTCCAGCTGGACATGCTGCTAAGTCAGAAGAAGAGGGAGTCATTGGGTTGAGATGAAAGATCCCATTTCAGAATTGCTGACCTCTGTGCACCCTCAAGCCACTTGCAAGGGGTGGAAGAGACTCTGCTTTAGGCTGCCACCGGTCCATGCAGCTGCTGTGTATCTAGTTTAGAGACAAACACCAGATCCCCTTTCCTGCCCGGGGCACTCCCTTTCTGCTACCGTGTTTGTATTTGGTTTACTGGATTTATTAGAGTTGGAATACTGAACATGGGGAAGAAATGTCAAAAAATAAAGTAGGGGGAGCTGCACTAGAGAACCTCACTAGTGGCCATCTCATTCCCAAATTAAATGCTCATAAATGAAAGCTGAAGTTCAGTGTGAGGCCTAGGTGGGCAAGAGTGGTGCTCAATACCTGCAGTCTGGCCCTTTTTTTCACTCTTCTCTCATAGAAATGTAGAATCATTATGGTTGGAAAAGAACTTCAAGATCATCAAGTCCAACCATAATCCCTTCAACACCATGCCTGTTAAACCATGTTTCTAAGTGCCTCATCTATACATTTCTTGAACCCTGCCAGAGACAGCAACTCCACCACTTCCCTGCGCAGTCTATTCCAGTGCTTGACTACTCTTTCCGTGTAGAAATTCTTCCTAATGTCTAACCTGAACCTCCCCTGGCGCAACTTGAGGCCATTTCCTCTTGTCCTATGGGTAATTATTGAGGAGAAGAGAGCGACCCCCACCTCACTAGAGGCCCCTTTTGGGGAGTCGTAGAGAGTGAGAAGGTCTGCCCGGAGCCTCCTCTTCTCCAGACAGAATAACCCATCTCCCTCAGCTGCTCCTCATCAGGTCTGTGCTCCCATCCGTGCTCTCTCACACTCATCATTAGCTGTGTCCTCTGTTGCCCTAGGCTGACAATCACACACTGGTGATACACACAGGTTAATGGGGTTGTGCTCAGCTATTGCAGGAGTTTCTGGGGTGATGCTGGGATTGTCCCTCCCTTGGTGACTGCAGTTCCTTTCCTTTTTCTGGGGGTGCGCTGTAACAAATCCCCCTTACACACAAGGAGAGGCATCGTTGACTCTTGGCTTCATAACGTTTTTATTATCCATCTTGTGACCATGTGGCCACAAGCTATTATCCCCTAGTCAGAAAGCTTGTATCAGAGCCACCCTCAGCCTTCTTTTTTTTTTGTTTCTTGGTGTCCACCCAGTCTGCATCCCTGCGGCTAACGTCGCTGTAGGCAAGGCTGGGAGAGAGGGTAGGCATCACGTTTGCTGCAGCACATTTGGGACACGAACCAGACAGGGTTTTAAGGTTCCTCAGCAGTTGTTTGCACCAAAAGGCTGCAGCCCGTAGGGCTGGCGTGATGCCCGTGGTGTGCCACGGTAAGTGGCCGAATGCTGCTGCCAGCAAGGAGGGCTGCAGGCTGGAAGTGAGTTCTGTTTCTTTTACCATTGCAGACTGTGAAAGGAGGCTTTTCAGAGACAAGGATAGAGAAGCGCATCATTATCACGGGAGATGAAGATGTGGACCAAGACCAGGTAGGAGCAGAATGCTGTGGGTTTGCTGCAAGCCTGCTGGCTTCCTCCGGGCTGTGCAGGAGGGTGGTGGTCCCCTTCTCCTAGGGGTACCGCAGTCCCCACAATAAACCCTGTCTCCATCTTGGAAGAAGTGACAGGAATCATCACTCATGTGCCCTGCTAAAGAGCTGGATCATGATTTATGCTGAACAGGAAGTTTCAGCTTATCTCCCACCAACGCCTGTTGAAGGGAGGACTCAGCAGTAAGGATGATATTCCAGCACAGAGCCCAACTATTAGATTGTCTTTTTCTTGGTGTACATACATTTCCAGTTGACATTTCTCTGTTGAAACACTCTGAAGTGAGCCAGGATTCCCCTTTCTTTCCTGCAGAGTCTCACTACAGGTTGGCTCAGTCCAAATTTATGTGTTTTTGCATTTACCTCCTTAAGAGAAGGAACAAAAACTGATGACGTTTTTATGATGAAACAACAGAGATAGAAATCTCTGGGGCCACAGGCTCTTTTTATTGTGATCTTCATCACTGAAGATTTTTTGCTTTACAGTAGTTTTAAAGGTCCAAAGTTGTTTGAGCAGGATCTAAAATAATTTCAGAATTTTTAGAATTATTCAGCATAATAAATTTAATTAGAACAATATTCAGTTTTTTGAGCTCTTTGGCAGAGAGAATTGCTGATGCTCCTCTGTTTGGGTTTCATTAGTGAGCCTGGAATGCTGTGCAACTCTGCATGCAAACAAGTGAAGAAGCAATAACCTGTGCATCCCAATGCTTTTCTAAACCCCTCCAGTCGGCAGCAGCATTCAGCTCCAGATATTTTTTATACACTAACTCTTTCTGGCAATGTTCATATCAGATTTCAGGGAAGTGATAATAAAATGCTTCCGTCATTCCGGTTTCTAGGCACTGGCTTTAGCAATCAAAGAGGCAAAACTACAGCATCCTGACATGCTGGTAACCAAAGCTGTGGTATACAGAGAAACAGAACCTTCTCCAGAGGAGAGAGACAAGAAGCCTCAGGTATGTAAAGAAATTGCCAGGTATGATTTATACATGCTGCATAAGAGATATATGTGACTGTCCAAGTATCTCCGTGTATCCCTTATGCTCTCAGCACAGTGGGGTTCTTTGCAGAAGTTCTTCTTAGTGATTTCTGCATCTTTTTGGGAGCCGACTAGTTTTGATTTAATGGCTTAACATAAGGGAGACTTCAGAGTGACTCCCTGATAGCTTTCCCATACACCAGCACCAACTCATCAAACTCAGAGGTTTTTCTAATTACTAGAGGCGCTGGTAATCAAGGACATACTGTGGTCCCAAAGTGTTTTGCAGTATTATTGTCCAGAGCCCTCCGAGAAAGAGCAGCCCTTTTAGGGCCCAAAAAGGGAGTTCTCCATGACCGCTCCTTTTCTGCCTTGTACAGGAATCTTGACCATCATGTCCACAGAAGTTGGCATCTGTATTCAAGCCTGGAGAATAGCGAAGAAGGATCCTTTATGCTGGATTTGTCAGCAAGACATAGACATCCTGGCTGCAACGTTCATGGCGAGAGACAAAAATCAAAAAAAATAAAGGAATAGCAAATATATTATATATATATATACATACATACATACTATATATATATATATATAAAAACAGGAAACAAAATGCATCCTTGCACTGCTACTGTTTGCTGTAAATGAATTAAACCCAACATCAACAACAAACAAAACCAACCATCTTTGCAGATAAATTGAAGAATTTAGCGGATTGGTGATGAAACAAAATTATAAAATCATGGTAATAACAATAGCATTGTTAAAAGTACAATAAGCCACCGTCTTGCATGTTACCTAAAAGGAGACACAATCTTGAGTTCATTTGTTGCACACTGAATGGAAAGGAGAACTGCTTTGCAACAAAGCAAGAAATAAGCAAAATGAAATAACAGCCACAAGCAGAAGCAAAACCATTTCCCACCTCTGGAAAGAAGAGAGAAACCATTGAGTTTATTACTTTAAAGTTACTTTCCGATTTGGAACGTGTGGTTACACCCTTTTCCTCATTCTATGCTGGTTCTTTTGCATTTTTTTTTAGTGGGGCATCATTAATTCTGCCCCTTCTGTTCCTTATCTTCCTCTCTGTGCATTTTCCAAGCTCCAAGTTTCCAAGTTCTCTGAAGGTATTTAGGAATGGATTTCATTTCAAACAAAGCAAATTATATGTATATGGTTTCTCACTTATAACAACGCAGCCTGTAGGGGTTTCATATGGATGTGCATTTAAGTTATGTATATTATTATATATAACAAGGGGGGAGGGAGGGAACAATATTGAAATAATTCAACAGTGCTGGTAAATATGATGACGACGTTTTTAAATTATTAACTATTTGATTGACTGTGGTTGGTGTATTTTGAGACTCTTAGCTCATACTTGGGACTCTAGCCCTGCAAGAAGAGAATGGGGACAGTTTCAGCCACTCCTGTTTGGGAGTGGGGGGACAAGGACAGGCCAGCTCCCGCTAGCGGATCCACGTGGCAGCAGGAGGGCCGCAGTGGGTGCTGCAGTTTCCTGGGTTTGGGACTGCTGGTCAGTGACGAGGCGGAGGGGCAAGGAAGAAGCTTCAGGCTGCTGTTCTTGCAGCCCAGACGCTAGGAATACGCAGGAATGTGGCCTGGCCCCAAGCCAAAGACATTAGGGTCAGCTGGGAACAAGCTGGTGCTGCGCTCCTCGCTCCTTCGCGGCCCGCCGCGCCGTGGCAGCGGTTGGGGTTGGTTTGGTTCTGGAGTCCAGGGATGAAGTGACTTGAGCTCTGCAGTCGGAAGGGCTGGAGGCAAAGCGGAGCCGTTTCTGCCTTGCTCCCGCGACGGTGGTGGTGGCAGGGGCGGCACCTTTTTTTAGCCGCGGGTGCTGCGCAGGGACAGGCGTGGGGACACTGTGGTGTCGGGCCGCCGCGGAGCGCCCCAAGCGCGTGAGGCCGCGGGGCAGAGGAGATGCAGGGCCTCCCGGGTAGGAAGGTCCGTGCTGGGGCGGTGTCAGCGCCGCCGCCTTCCCCACAACTCATCCCAACTTGGCCTTGAGCAACGGGCTTCCTCTGTGACTCCCTTGGAAGGGGACTAGGGGCCAAGGCCGGGGCCTCATACACTGTGAACCAGGCAGTCAGGGTGGACTTGGAACCAAAATCACAAAGGAAAAGGAATAAATGGGTTTCCTTTTAGGAATGACCCCTTTCTCCTGCTGATTTTTTATTCTGCACCATTTTGCCTTTAGTCCTCCACCCCTCGCACTGACTGTGCCCAGAGTAGGTGCATTTTCCCGGTCCCAGCCAGGAAGCCGAGGGTGACCGTGAACAGGGAGAACGTGAGTCCTTAGGCTGTGGTGGGAGCACACTTTGCTCTCTGAGCTTCCTTAGAGAGAGGCTGTTCTCTGGCAGCCTGGTCCACCAGCCACTTGCTATTATGTCCCCATGAAGTCTGTTTTCTTTCTGGCATAAAAGTTTCTTCTGCGAGCACTACAGACAGGCTTCTTGAGAAGTGAATGGACTTGCTGGCTAACGCCGATGAGGGGCATTTCAGGATTCCGCTGAGTTCAGTCACGTAGTCTCCCCCCAGATTCTGCCCGAGTGCTTTCGGTTGCTTGTAACTTGCTGCTTTTAGAGACCAGACCTCAAACCAAAAAGAGTTAAGGCAATTGCAGGGATGCATCTTTTCTCTCTTTTCTTTTTGAACTACACCCAAAACAGCTGGAAAATAGGGAAAAAAAAAAAAGCGGTTGCACTTTCTAAAAGAGAGACTGCAACGTAGATAGGACTTGTTCTCAGTGCCTGTGCAGGGCATGCAGCCCGTCTTGCCTATTAGCAATGATCCGCACGCACATTGCGTCGGTTGTTCTCCAGTACTGGTTGTAATCCAAACCCAAAGGAGGACTGTGTGGGTTTGGTACTTGTACAACTGAACTACAGGCTGCTTCGAAACTGGATATAAAAACTAGTTATAAAATCTAAGGTCACTGTTGAAATTAGTAGCTTTACATAGTTATGGAATTGATGTGAAATTGGCTTCATGACTGATTTAGGTTTAGAGCTAAAAAGCCTCAGTGGGTAGATCCAGTTTACTGCCTTCTGCAGCTTGTTTGACGGGTGACCAAAAAACAAAAAGAAGATGGAAAGAGGAAGGTTGGCTGTGTGCTCGGCGGGCCGGTGCGGGACCGTGATCCTAGCAAGGCCCTGCATCCCCGCCAGGCCCCTGGAAGGGGTGGGAGACCCCAGTGCCTGTTTTTACCCCATCCCACAGCCTCATTCCAAACCTGGCCTGCGATTGCATGAGTAATAACGACGGTCACAAGAACAGTATTTATTTTTACTCCAAAAGCACCTTAGCAACCAGCAGCAACGCTCTGTTGTTCCTTCACTAACCCCCCTTGCCTCTGCCCGCGGCCGCCGCCTCCCTCTGCCCCCGGCCACGTTCCTTTTCAGTGCTTGGTGCCGTACGCGTGTGTGCTCACTGTTCTTGTACTCAATAAAAGTGAAATAAATGTGTTTGACGCTGAGCCGGCCTGCGGCGTGCAGTGGCCTCCTTCCCGCACGTGCCAGCGGGGCTGCGGGCGGCCCCGGCGGGCCGCGGGGAGCG